GAGGAAGATGGGCCTGGGGAGGAGGAGGAGGAGGAGATGGTGAAGGCCCCCGAGCGGGTGACAGACCTGGAGATCGGGATGTATGTTCTCCTGGGCGTCTTCTGCCTGGCCATCTTCATCTTCCTCGTCAACTGCATTGTCTTTGTGTTGCGCTACCAGCGCAAGGAGCCCCCTGACGCCGGGCTGGGCCCGGCCCCCTCCACCCAGCAGCCCCACAACTGGGTGTGGCTGGGCACCGACCAGGAGGAGCTGAGCCGCCAGCTGGATCGCTGCAGCCAGCACCAAGAGCGCAGCCCCAATCCCACCCCTGACCCCTCCACCACTGCCAAAGATGGTGGCTGCTGCTGCTGCGGGACTCCCCCAGGCATGGAGGGGGGTAGGTGGGAGGCTGAGGCCCCCGAGGTCACAGGTCCCGATGGGGGGGTCTCCGCCAGCACTTTCCTCCCTGCGGCTCTGGGGAGCCCGGCCCTCTCCAGCACCTTGTCCCGGAAAGAGGTGGCTGCGCCGGGGGGCAGGCGTAAGCGGGTGGAGTTTGTGACCTTTGCCTCGCCCCGGGCCCCTGAGGGCGCCGCGTCCCCCCCGTCCTCCTCTGCCCCCACCGTCCAGTCCATCCTGGTGGCCAGCGAGGACGACATTCGCTGGGTCTGCGAGGACATGGGGCTGCGGGACCCCGATGAGCTGAGGAGCTACATGGAGAGGATCCGGGGCAGCTCCTGACCTTGGGCCCACCGCATCAGGGCAAAGCAGTAAGGGACCAGCCCCCGCTCCCATTGGCCACCCTCCCAGGGATCTGCCCTGGGATCCACTGGGCATTCTGTGCCCAAACCTGCTCCCTCCCAGTCAGTGTTAGGAGGAGAGCACTGCCCCCTGCGTTGCTGCCAGGGGTCAGGGCTCTACCCACTAGGGACGAGTCGTACGCCTCTGGATCACTGGGACGCAGGGCTGCGTTCTATAGAATTGACTCTGACTCTGTCTCTGTCCCGGGGATCCAGCCTGGGCCCCCTCAGTTTCTACCTTGATCCCAGCTGAGGCCCCTCTTTCCCTCTCACTGGAGGGAGTTTGACCTCGTGGGTTTGGAACCCAGGCGTCCTGGTTATCGCCCAGGTTCTGGGGGTGCTTTCCCCACTGGTCTCCAACCCACCGAGGGGCAAGCCGGGGCCGGATTCCCATTTTGCTTTGGCTCTCATTGCAATGTTGTGTTGATTGTGATGGTTTTCATGGCGAGTGTCCTTCCTGTGGTCTGACCCTCGGGATATTCCCCTTCCCCCGCCTGCCCACCTTGCAAGGGTGGGCCCCCTTCACCCCGGCCGTGCGTTCGTTTTGTACGATCTCTGGCATTTTATACCTGTAGCGTCGGGAGGCTGCCACGACGGGTCCTTTATTTATGGAAGATTTTTAATTCTTATGTTGTTACAAAAATAAAATATTTAAAAACAAATATCCGGCCCCTGGGCAGATGCGGGGGGGAACCTTTCCATCCCTCCCTGCCTTTGTACTCAGAGCACCCCCTGGGTGGAAGGAGGAGATGAGCAGCTGCAGGCTCCTTCTGCTATCGAACTTCTCCAGTCTCCCAGCCTCATTCTCAGGCCTCATCTGCCACCGTAGGCCATTCTTCCACTGGACTGTAGAGGGGAATGGGGGATGGCCCCTTGAGAATACCGTCTGCACTGAGGGGCCTTCCAAGCTGGTAAAGAATTGGGAGAAGGGCCTAGCTACCAGCCCCCAACAAATGAGGTGGATTGGGGGAGTGGCTGAATTGCATTCACTGTCGCTGTTACCTGCTTGCCACAGGAAGCAGCTCATGAATCAGAGCAGCCCTGGGGCTGCTCTAACCTATCCCGGGGCCAGGCACAGCCCAAGGATAGAGGGAGCATGACGGTGGCTTAACACCAGCCCCATGCTGGAGGCTCGAAGAGGTGTCTCCATGAAGAGTAACATGCTGCGTGTGAGGTCAGCAGGAACATGTGCGCACTCAATTCACACCCCACACAGCCGCACGGTGAGAACGGGCCGCTTAAGAACAGCCTTCATCTAAAAGGGAAAGTTTCCCTCGGGGCCCGGGCCAGGCAGCAGGGCTCCCCTCTCCCTGCTGTCCCAGCCTCCCCTCCCCACTGCCAGCAGCTTCAGCCTGTTTGACAGCCCGGCCCACAGACCATCAGATCGATTATAATTAGATTTTCCATTGCCAAGAAAAGCAGCAGAAGAGGCGTCTCGCGCGGGAATCATCTATGCTTTTAAACCTGCAAATGCGGGGATCCCAAATGGGAGAGATGGCCAGTTGGTTCCAAAGTGGGCCCAGCCCAGTGTTGCTGGGGGTTAGGAGCTTGGCTTAAAGGGAGGCTGCCACCTTTTGACTTGCTGTGGTTTTAGGACACTGAAAGAATTTGGACGATCGGATGGATTCTTTTGTTCCCCGTTGCTGCTTGTCTGTTTGCATGTCAGCTCGGACAGAGAAACTAGACAAGAAGGATGGGCTAGTTTTGTTCCTAGCCCAGCCCACAGGCTCCGGCGTTGACCTTGGGAAAGTCCCACTCATGCAAATGCCCATGCTTAACTTTGTGCACCCTATGCTTAAATGTTCTGGGGGGGGGGGGGGGGAGGAGTTTAATCTCTGTGCCCCAGATCACCATCTGTAAAATGGGGATCCGAAAACTTCTCTTCACGGACAGGAATTTGCTCCCCACTCAGCTTGGCAGAGACCTTGGGAGCTTTTCGCCTTCCTCTTCCTGTAACTCCTCAGCTTGACTCTGCCGAGAGGTTAGGTTGTCGAGCCCTTAGGTTCCCTCGGAAAGCAGCAGGTTTGTCAGTGAGGTGGAAAGTAGAGTTGTTTGAAATCTAGCAGTTTCAGTTCCTGGTGGGGTCTGTGGGCAGGATTAGCTGGATATACAGATCTCACTTCATCAATTCCCTGCCATTGCAGAGGCCTTTGATGAAATACACCTCAAGGGCAGCATCTCCGAATGGAGAGCTAGATCCCTGCCAGCCTGGCTCTCTAACTCTGCCCCCCCCCCCCGCTCTAACCTCATGCCCATGCAGCCATGATCCTGTGGGGTAAGGTGGGGTGGGGTGAATTCTGTGGAGGGGACAGGGTGCTCGGTACCGCAGGAACGGCCTTCAACTGGCAGTAGGGCTGTTTCTTACTAGGTGTAAGGCAGCACCTGGCGCACAGGGGTTCTGATCTCAGCTACTAGACCAGCCCAAAATACCCACAATTTATAAACCTTGCTCTGAAGGTTCCATTTACAAATGGGGCTCCTGAGTGCTGAGACACTTGGATAAATGGTTAATTTGTAGGGCTGGCAAATGAATAAAAAAAATAATTGTGAGATAAAAAAAAAATCACAATCACAGTTTTCTACATTTTCAAATATATTGATTTGATTTCAATTACAACACAGAATACAAATATCAGGGGGTAGCCGTGTTAGTCTGTATCCACAAAAACAACAAGGAGTCTGGGGACACCTTAAAGACTAACAGATTTATTTGGGCATAAGCTTTTCTGGGTAAAAAACCCACTTATTCAGATGCATGGAGTGATGCATTTTCACTCCATGCATCTGAAGAAGTAGGTTTTTTACCCAGAAAAGCTTATGCCCAAATAAATCTGTTAGTCTTTAAGGTGCCACTGGACACAGAATACAAAGTGTACAGTGCTCACTTTAGATTATTATTTTTGATTACATACATCTGCACAGTAAAAAAGATAAATTGTATTTCAATTCTCCTCATACAAGTACTGTGGTGCAATCTCTTTGAAAGTGCAACTTACAAATGTAGAATTATTTATTTTTTTACATAACTGCACTCAAAAATAAAACAATGTAAAACTTTAGAGCCTACAAGTCCAGTCAGTCTTGGAAGCATATCCTCTGGAATGGTGGCTAAAGCATGAAGGGGCATACAAATGTTTAGCAGGTCTGGCACGTAAATATCTTGCAATGCCAGCTACAAAAATGCCATGCGAACATCTGTTCTCATTTTCAGGTGACATTGTAAATAAGAAGAGGACAGCATTATCTCCCATAAATGTAAACATTGTCTGAGCAATTGGCTGAACAAGAAGTAGGACTGAGTGGACTTGTAGGCGCTAAAGTTTTACATTGTTTTGTTTTTGAGTGAAGTTATGTAACAAAAAATCTATATTTGTAAATTGCACTTTCACAATGAAGAGATTGCGCTACAGTACTTGTATGAGGTGAATTTAAAACTTTGTTTAAAAATATTTGCACAGTAAAAAAAATCAAAGAAATCTAAAGAGAGCACTGTACACTTTGTATTCTGTGTTGTAATTGAAATCAATATATTTGAAAATGTAGAAAAACATCCCAAAATATTTATAATTTAAATGGGTATTCTGTTATTGTTTAACAGTGTGATTTAAAATTGTGATGAATCACATTTTCTTAAATTGAGTTAATTTGTTTTGAGTTAATTGCTTGAGTTAATTTCAATTAATTGACAGCCCTATTAATCTGTTATAGATCATTCGTCCATTCTGTCCCGCGCCGCTCTGCCAGTGGGCACCAATCGCAGCAATCGCCCACTTGGTCAATTTTCAAACAAGCACCTTTGTGCTCTCTCCCAGGCTGCTATTCGTCATAACCATCTGCATTATCCGCCTTTCAAACTCTGCTTTGCCGGGATGCCTACCACAAACTTGCCAACTGGTGCGCTGAGACCACTGAGCAATATTGCCTCATTGTTTCCTGGTGTTCCTCCAGCTGTCTGTTGTCTTTGAGTTAGATTGAGGTGAGGTGAGGAGGGACCAGCACCTTGTTCTGCATCTGCAACGGCACACAGCAGTACTCATAATAATCTTACTAACCACTTAACCAGCTCTAGTACCTTCTGCTGTTGTGCTCATGAGCAGCTCTGGCACACACTGGTCATGTCTTTAACCTGCTTAGAACAGCCAGCCATCACGTATCAACCCTTTATAGACTGTTTGGAAATGGACCCTTGCCGGGAAATGCAATCCCCATCATTGATAACAGTCATTCTGTTTCATATTCTCTCGCAGTGTTTGGGTTGCAAAGGCTCCAGGGGCAAGTCTCGTTCGTTTACAGAAATCTCTTTTCATTGGAGTATTGTTTTTTTACAGGAACACTTTTTTGCTTTGAGATCTGCTGTGCTTTTCCCTGCATTATTTTCACTCGTCATAAAATCATAGATGCCGGCTGGGCACTTAAGGGCCATTGCCTTCACCCCTCTGTCTTTTCCACCGCATGCTGGTGGCTTGGAGCACCTTTAACCACCCTACCCCACCCCCGGAATAAATTAAAGCCCCCACTCTCTAAAATTCCATCTTTACAAACACCTCTACTTGAACCAACCCCCAGAGAACAGCCAGGCACAAGCCACCACCACTGGCCTCTCCCCATCAGAGCCCATTTAGCATTACAGAGTAACACAGATCATGGCAGTTCTGAGGGCCCATCCACCAGTGGTGCCAAGCAGGTTTGCCACTCTATGAGATCGTATCCAGCCTTTGCCCAGTTAAGCCCTGATATTAGCAGGGGTTGAGAAGGAGATTTTTCTCTTGCATAGGATGAGGCAAATCTTCCACCCACTCCTGGGCTCTGGGAATCATTCCCCCCCCCCCCTTCATTTCCAGTGCCTTCTGCCTGTTGATTTAACCCCTTACTGGTGCCCGTCCCAGGAGATCGGCCATCTCAGGACCCTGCTGGATAGCAAAACCCAGGCAAGAGAGGGCATCCTTAGGAATTCTGGCTACTGGAGGGTGGATCTTACAGCCTGGGGGTAGCCGAGGAGGCAGGACAACGTTTCCCAAGGGTCTCCGACAAGGAGAAAGAGCAAGCCCCCAAGTGAGCCATGAGGAGGCTCCGCCCCTTAGGGCGTCCCCCTCCCCCTTGAGTCTGCCCCTGCCTCCTGTGGGTGCCTTAGGGGTGAGAGTCCCTGGTGCCCTACTAGGGGCATCTCTCCTTCCCCTTCTCCGGGGAGGTTTGCTGACCCATGGAGCAGTTCCACCCACCAGCCCAAGCCGGGCAAGTCACTGAGCAGAAAGGGGCAGCTGGAGGGGGGCAAGGTCCCCTCAGTCCCCTTCGCGGCCGACGCAGGCGTGGCAGTTGGGTTGCTGCTGCCTCTCGTAGTGGCCAGAGATCCAGAAGAAGAGCATGAAAGTCACAGTCTGGATCCCAGCCAGGAGGAAGAAGTAATAGTCCATGTGGCAATTGTTAATGTTCCCTGGGGAAACAAGGGGTGAGCCGTCAGAGCATCCCCTGCTGGTACCAGGCAGACCCCTCCACCTCTAGCCCCTGCAGCAACCCTAGCCCAGGGCACATTTCTCCCTACACAGTCACTACAACCCGGCACCAAGTAGACACCATCTTCCACCACATTCCCAGACCCAGGGACCCGTCCCCCCTGGCACTGTCAGCAGAACCCCCTCCATGGAGAGCTCCCCCTGCTAGCAGTGGGATGATGAGGCCTGAGAGTGGAGAACAGACCTAGCTCCCAACCTCCCTCGCGCACCCCCCATCGGCCCCAGGGATACATTTCCCACCCCCAGCTCTGCTGAGGGGCTGCCTCTCTCCCTTCTGCTTTGTATTTTCCCCCGGCCCCCGCACTCACCGTAGTCCTCGGGGCAGTGCATCCAGCCATGCTCCGGCACTGAGAGGAGAGTCAGCAGCCCAGAGCCCAGGAGCGAGCCCACGCCGGATATGAAGAAAAAGAGCCCCATGATGGCTCCCTGCATGGACTTGGGGGCCTCTGAGTAGGCAAATTCCAGCCCTAGGGGAAAGCAGAGAGCTCTGAGGGACCTCAGTAATACTAGGGCAAACAAACACTGCTTCTAGCCACCAGGTGATGGGATCAAACAACAGGCTGTTTGCTACCATGCCAGCTGATTGATAAGCTGGCAGCCCCAACCCAAGCACTTGCCTTGAACCTATCAGTCACCTATCCACCTACAGATCAAGCCTTGCATTGCTTAGATTCATGAAATCAGAGGGACCTCCTTCCTAGATACAGCTGTATTTGATGTTCTCTGGCCCCACCCAGCATGGTGCTAGGGGCTGTTAGTCAGACCCATTGCACATGCTCAGTCTAACCCCAGCACCTGGCGCTTCACACCTCACCCGTGCTGCCTTATTGTTACTGGACCCCATCGCGCTAGGCGCTGCACAAACCCAGCACAGTTACCTGGAATGCTGGCGAAGATTTCACTGATGCCAATGAGAAGGTACTGGGGAATCTGCCACCAGATGGGCAGTGTGGCAGCAGAGTACACATCCTCTCCGATGCGCTGCGGGATGGTCTGGTTGTTCTTCACATACTGCAGCCTCTTGGTCTCCAGGGCGCCTGCCGAGGAGGGGCAGGATGGATCAATGTGACATTCCCCCATACACACTCAGAAGGGGTCAGCCCCATCTGAGCAAGGCCCCATGGGCCCCTGATTTCAGGGCAGGGAGAGTCTATCGGCCATCCTCTGGGATCCCCCCGCAATGCCGGTCAGCTCCAGCCCTTGCGTTGGGCAGTAGCCTCCCACCCACCAGCCATGGCCTCCCTAGCCATGGGCATCAGGCGTTACCTGCCACAATGATAGAGGCGAGGCCAAAGAACATGCCCAGAGCCATCCTCTTCAGCGCTGAGGGCAGCAGCTTCCGCCTCACCAGGAACGGGTCAATGACTCGATCCTTCAGTGGGACCAGAACCAGCAGGACCACCACATTGGCTAACAGGAGCCAGGCATCAGGGAACTAGGGAGAGAGAACTGGGTCAGATCTAGCCCTTGGGCTAACAGAACCAGGCAGTGGGGATCTAAGGCGAGATAACTGGGTCAGAACTAGTCCTTGGGCTAACAGAACCAGGCATCCCCTTGAGAAATAACTCTACAGCAACTGAAAACCCTTATTCTGAATCGCCTGCCTCTCCCAGCCCTGACTCTCCCCCTGCTTCCCCATCCCCTCCCTGCCATAGGTGCTGGAACTAGGGGTGCTGAGGATGCTGCTGCACCCTCTGGCTGGAAGTGGTTTCCATCATATACAGGGTTTACAGTTTGGTTCAATGGCTCTCTACATCCCCACTACACAAATTGTTCCTGGTCCCCTGCTCCCCTCCAGCTGCCCGGGGCCTGAGGAGACGCGGAAGCAGCTGGGACAGTTTCTGTTCTGTCTCCAGACAGGCTGGTGACCACAACCAGCATCACATGCCACTCACGCTAGGCCTCTCACAAAGAAGGGATTGTGCTGTCAGGGGCAGGTGATATCCTGGACCCGCCTCCTTGCCCAGGCTGGGGATGTCACCCTACTCGAATGGGCAGCAAGATTCACCCATGCTGCTCAAGATGGTCTCTTCCCTTGGCCTGGTGCCAGCCCTCTCCCCGTCACCCCCTCTTGGGGTGTCATCACCAACCCCAGCAATGTCACTCAGCCCCTGAGCTGATGTCATTGCCTGCCATCCCCGCTGCATGCCATGGCCCCTCACCGTGTAGCTGCTGCCCATGCCACTGCCCGTGCTGTTGTGCTGGAAGATGTTGGGGATGAAGAGGTGCAGGCCTTGCAGATAGTAAGTCGACTGCATCTGGAATGTAACAGGGAGGTCAATGTGGGGTTCAGATCCATGGGACATTCCTCCCCCCCGTCATCCCTCTTGGGACATCATCATCCACCCCAGTGATGTCACTCAGCCTCCCCTACTCCCTGCCAGGGGCATTGTCCCTCCTCTGCCCCCTTGAGTTGGGGTCATTGTTTGCCATCCCCACTGCATGCCTTGGTCCCCATTGGAACTGAACCTCTCTCCTACCCCACCAAGGTAGGGAAGAGCCACACACACCCCGGCACCCTACCCCAGGAAACTCTGCCAAGCCAGGACTGGGGGAGCAGTGTGCGGGTGGCCCCCGAGAGAGGGTTAATCATAGAATCATAGAATATCAGGGTTGGAAGGGACCTCAGGAGGTCATCTAGTCCAACCCCCTGCTCAAAGGAGGACCAATCCCCAGATGGGTCCTGCTTTGAGCAGGGTCCTACTGGGTCGTACCAGCAGCCAGTGACTATTGTTCTTTAGCATTGCCCCGAGGTGGCGAACCAAAGAGGAAGGAAATGAGGAGGAAATCTTTCGAAGGAATGGACACGGTCCCTGTCCCAGGTGGCTGGTCCTTTAAGGAGAAATGGGTCTCAGCCCCACCTGGGACATGGTTCACTCCCCGCTCCAGGTGTGAAGCTGGGCCATGTGGCCCCTCTGGGAGTCACAAGGCAGAGGGCTGGGGAGGGAGAGAGAAAGATGCTGAGCTAACAGGGGTGGGCCAGGAGAGCAGGAAATGGGGGGGGGCAAAACTTTTTGGCCCGAGGGCCTTATCTGGGTATGGAAATTGTATGGCGGGCCATGAATGCTCACGAAATTGGGGTTGTGGTGTGTGTGGGGGGGTGAGGGCTCCGGCTGGGGGTATGGGCTCTGGGGTGGGGCCAGAAATGAGGAGTTCAGGGTGCAGGAGGGTCTCCAGGCTGAGGCAGGAGGTTGGGGTGCGGGGGGGGTGAGGGCTCCAGCTGGGGGTGTGGGCTCTGGGGTGGGGCTGGGTATGAGGGGTTGGGGATGCAGGAGGGTGCTCCGGGCTGGGACCGAGGTGTTCGGAGGCTGGGGCAGGGGGTTGAGGCACGGAAGGGGGTCAGGGGTGCAGGCTCTGGGTGGTGCTTACCTCAAGCAGCTCCTGGAAGCAACAGCATGTCCCCCCACTGACTCCTACGCAGAGCCATGGCCAAGGAGCTCTGCACGCTGCCCGGTCCGCAGGCACCGTCTCTGCAGCTCCCATTGGCCTTGGTTCCCAGCCAATGGGAGATGTGGGGGCATCGCTTGGGGCAGGGGCAGCGTGCGGAGCCCCCTGGCTGCCCCTACATGTAGGAGCCGGAGGGGAGATATGCCGCTACTTCCGGGAGCCGTGAGGAGCCACCCCACGCTCAGAGTGTGGTAAGCCCCTGACCCCACTCCCTGGATGGAGCACCAGAGTGGGGCAAGCCCTGGACCCTGCTCCCCAGCGGGAGCTCGAGGGCTGGATTAAAACATCTGAAGGGCCGGATGCGCCCCCCGAGCCATAAATTGCCCACTCCTGAGATAGGCTGGCATCTCGGAGCCCGAGAGAGGACAACTCAGAGAGAGTCCTGGCGCCAATCCTGGGCTAGGGAGGGGTGCGAATAGCTGCTGGCTGAAGACTCAGACCAATGGGATCGGCAGCAGATGCCAGAGCTGAGGAGCTCTTGTGCAGATGGACTTGATGGATTGTTCTGCGCTGCTTATGTGATGAAGCCAGCCTCGGGGGGGAGGGGGGAAGCTCGGAGGAAGCCTTTGTGGATTATTTCAGGGACACTGAGGCAGAGCTGCCCCTGGCCACGAGGGGGCGCTCTGGAGGCAGCATCCCTGTTTGCAGCCCCCACCACCCTAGGATCTGAGGGTCTCACAAGCATTGATGGTATCGATCCTCAACTCCAAGCTCCGTGAGGACGGCTCGATGCCGACCCCACTGCCAAACCCCTCTATGCATCAGCACGCCTGGTGCTGCCGCTCCACCGGCTCCCTACCTGGAAGTAGACCATCCAGTAGGGAATGAAGGTCAGTAGCACCGGCAGGATCTTCGCCATCACCTGGAAGTTGGCAAGATCCTCCTCGGGTGAAGGAGCCCGGGGCTGAGATTTGCCGTCAGGGAGAGGATCCGCGCCCTGGGCTTCTGATTGGAGAGCGCCCGGCCTTCAATGAAAGGGGAGAGCACAGATGGCATGAGGAGGCCAGCGTGGGCATGGCCCCAGAGGGGATGGGGGCAGCTGCGCTCCACCAGCACTGACCCTACCTGATACGGCGCGCTCGGCTGCAGCAGCTGCCCCTGAAGGCCAGCCTGAGCATGGCAGAGACCTGGCTGCCCGCGGGGGGCTTGGTGACGAAGGTGGGGGCAGCCAGGAGAAAGACGAGGAGGGCCAGGGCCACGCAGGCCGCGGGGATGGTGTAGCCGATGAAGAAGTTGACATTCTGCTGGATAAAGGCCACCACGAGCAGCGAGATCACCGCCCCGATGTTAATGCTCCAGTAGAACCAGTTGAAGAAGCGCCGTGTGGCATCGCGGCCACGGTCCGTCACCTACAGGGAGCACAAGGCAGGATGGCGTGAGCCAGGCTGTGCTCCGCTGTGTCCAGTCGGGGCCTCGTCCCCTGTCCCCACTGTGGGAAGGGGGGGTCCCAAAGGAAATGGTGGGGTTAACCCTTTATGGGCCGTGGGGAGAGAATTTCTAGATCCCTGGCAGGGGCTGCCTCCCATCTCTCCTGCCCTTTGGGGAGCCAGGCAGACCCTCGGCCTGGCAGGGGGACTCTCACCACCACCCCGCCCACCCCAGGGACTTCCATCTGCAGGGAGCGCCAGGCCAAAACTAAGCCACAAACACGGGGGCGGGGACGCATCTCCCCTCCCTCCCACTCCTTAACCTAGACGCAGCCTCCCTCCTTCCTATCCTCTCCCCGCTTCCCGACCTCCTGTTCCATCCGTTCCCCAGCCCTTCCCATCCTCTCGCCTACCCACCCAATCAGGGTGCCCCATTGCAACAGCACCCCCTGGGGATGTGGGGGGTGATGGCCCCCCCTGCCTGGCCGAGGCTCTGCCTGGCTCTCCAGAGGGAAGGAGAGATGGGAGTCAGCCCCTGAAAGGGGTCTAGACATTCTCCCCCTACAGCCCTTAAGAGGTTAACTCCCCACCTCCTTTCCTATGGACCAGAGAAACAATCCCCTTCCCCCAGTTAGACTCCTCACCTCCCCTGACTGGGGCGGAAGAACTCCCTCACACCCGGGGGGAGACAGGGAGGATTAACCCCTTGTGCTCTGGGAGGCGAGATCATCCCTAGGGACGTTCTCCCTGCTCCCAGCCAAGCCTGGGAACTCTGGCTTGTTCCTGGGGTCTGGGGTGGTAGAGAGGAGACTTTACCCCATCATCTGCTGGGGCGGAAAGAGAAACAGTCTCCCCCACAGCATGATAGGGAAAGCCCCTCCCCCCAACCTCCCGTGTGCATATGTGCAAGCGTTAATCTGTGCATGCACACTGGGGACTTGTTTGTGCCTGCATTTCCACGTGTGTGTGCTTTTGCATGCCTGTGTGTGTAAGCACATGCATGCTTGTGCATGTTTGTGTAAATGTGTTCTGACACGTGTGCAAGCTCGTGGGTAGGACGTGTGCCCTTGTCTGCATGGCTGCTTGCGTGGATGTGCTTTTGCTTCTGTGCGTGTGCAGGGGTGTGGTAGATGTATTTGCATGTGTGTGCTCATGCGCATGGGTATTCATGTGTGCAAACTTGTGTGTGTCTGTTTGTATGCATTGCCTCTGTGTGTGTGTGTGTGTGTGTGTGTGTGTGTGCACGTACTGCATGCATTGCCTCTGCCTCTGTGTGTGCACGCGCGCGCGTTGCATGCATTGCCTCTGTGCACATGCGTGTTGCATGAATTGCCTGTGTGTGTGCACAGGTGTGCATTTCATGCATTGCCTCTGTGTATGTTTGTGCACGCGCATTGTATGCATTGCCTGTGTATGCACATGCGCGCTCATGCATGTGTGTGCAACGTTAACCCTTTGGCACTAGCCAGGGCGAGGGTCCTGCCCAGGGGAATCTCTTTGGGGGGGGTATATGTGTGTGTGTGTGTGTGTGACCCTTTGTGTGCTGGATGTATTGCTCTCCAGGTTGCTGACCCTGGGGGAATGGAGGGGAAAGGCGTGCCTGTTACCTGGTCGGCGCCGAAGGGGGTGAGGTTGGCCTTGACGGAGCTGATGCCCAGTGCCAGAAGCAGCAGGCCAGTGTACATCAGAGGGGCGCAGTAGTGGCCGGGTGCCGACTGCTGGCACTCCCCACTCTGGTTCCGGCAGGGATGCTGCAGCGGGTAGGCCGGCATGTCCCCGCACAGAAAGAGTCGCCCATCCGATGAGGCCGTGGCAGGCAGCAGGCAGGCCGACACCAGGTAGAGCAGGAAGCTTAGCGTGATGGTCCAGTAGCGGCCCAGGTAGACGTCAGCCAGCCAGCCCCCGACGGGCGAGAGCAGGTAGGAGGCGCCCAGGAAGAGCAGGGCGGCCCGCGAGGCCTGCGATCCCCCCCAATTGAAGTTGCTGCTGTTGAGGTAGAGGACAAGATTGGAGACGATGCCGAAGAAAGCCGCCCGCTCCAGGATCTCCACCAGCAGCACGGCCGCGCAGGCTGCCTTCCGGCCCTCGAAGGCATCCCATAAGCCCCCGGCCGGGGCCTCTTCCTGCCCCAGCAGGAGCCGGCGCTCCCCTCTGGTACCATCCCGGGCCATGCACCGCCCTGCCTGGGCACTGCACGGATCTTCCTGCTCCCCCTGGCCTTCTCAGCCTGTGCTCTGTCTGTCTGCCCTTGCTGCTCCGTCTGTCCTGAGCCTTCCCCTCCCACGCTCTGTCTGGCCGTCCTCCCCTCTCAGTCTCTGGCCGCCTGTAGCTCTGGCTGCCTCTGCCTTCCCTGCTCCGTCTCTTGCTCTGGCAGACTCTCTCTGTCTCACCCTTCCTGGGCGTGTTTCTCCAATCTCTCAGGCCAGCTCCCACTTCCCCATTTCTCTGCTGAACAGAGACATCATATGACATCTCCCTTCCCAGAAATGAAACTTCCATTCCATGGGTTCCCCTTTCTCAGGGGATCGCTGCCCCGCCCTCTCCCCCTGAGTGACACCCTTCTTCATGCTTTTCCAGCCCTTCCCCAAAGTTTCCCTTTACTCTCCTTGCCCCTGCTCCAGTCTTCTCCCAAGATGATTCCCTCTGCCTAATAATCATACCTAGCACTTTTTATCAGGGGATCTCAACGTTCTTTACAAAGGCACTCACTATCATTAGCACCAGATAGGGAAACTGAGGCACAGAGGGGCAAAGTGACTTGCCCAAGGTCACCCTGCAGGCCAGTGGCAGAGCTGGGAATAGACCCCATCTCTCATGAGTCCCAGTCCAATGCTCTTTCCACTAGGCCCCACTGCTCCCAAGAGCAGCTGGCCTGCTTAAAGCCAAGAGGGTGGAAGCACTGGTGGGAGACTGTCAGTGGACAGGGTCTCCCATCCCAAACATGAAATGAATAGCTCATCGTGGCGGAGATTTTAAACTCCTTTTACAAAAAAACAAAGAAACCCTCCTGTAGCAAAGGAAATGCAGGCAAACAGGAAGCAATAGTTCGTTCTAGTAGCTCTTGCCCAAGACCAGTTCATGTGCAAACAATGGGCTCCTGATGAGTGGGATTTAACTAATAACCATCCTGAGTCACTCCCAGTTGTCTGAGAGGAGTTCTGGAGAGCCCTGGGGGAGGGGCCAGAGAATAGGTGACAAGCTGATCCATAGATTTTCAGCCCAGACGGGACCTCCAGCTCCATCCGCAGCTCCATTACACCTAGGTGGCGATGGAGCTGCAGATGAGCCTTTTGCAATGGGGCTTCTGCCCCGAATGCTGCACGGCCCTATCCTGGTAAGAACACAAGGTAGGTGTCATTGCCCAAAGCCTTGCGGTGCGTAGCATGGCCTTCCAGCTCCCACAAAACCCTTTTCCTCCCTTCCGCCCCTATGGGGTTTGCAGATTGTATGTTTCTCCAGTGCCCCTAGCTTTGGCTCTTCAGAAAGGGACTTTCCTACCTCCTTCCTCTCGTGGAAGTCCAGTGCACTCCACCGTTCCAAATTCCCTGCCAACGGACAGAAGACTCTCTAGGAGGACCAGAATCACCATGCTGGATCAGGGCGGGGAGCCATCTGTGCTGCTTCCAGCTAGTGCCAGCTGTTTCAGAAGGTCCAAGACCCTCACTGCTGATAGTTGTAGGACCACCATCTTCCCAGCCCCCATTAGAGGTTGGCTTATGCCCTGAAGCAGCAAGCCCAAGACCAGACCTTCCATGGCTTCACATCAGCATGGCTCCACTGAAGACAGTGCCATGACATTGATTGACACCAGTTGAGGATCAGGCCCTTGTGTTTTTTTTAAAGTCCTTCCGACTCTAACCTCTCCCATCCTGCCTGATTTCCCCTCCTCCCATGGGTAAATAGTGCAGCTGGAGCCCCCTCTGACCAGCAAAACGCCAGCAAAGTTATCCATTCCCTTTTGACAGCGTGCCGCGGGAAAGTTCACTCTGCAAATTAATCCCGGTTGGTTTGTATGGCAACATGGTCATGTGGATTGACATCTGGCAGACAGCTCTTCCTCGGAGCTGTCATCTCTCGCGCTGGTATTTCAGCAGCAGCTGCTATAAAAAATACACCCCCAGAGTTTCTATTACCAGTTGATATATGTTGTGATTTCTCCTTTTGATGCTCCCTCTTACGGAGCATGGAATTATTTAGTATCTGTCCTGTGACGTCTCCTCCAATTTGCTTCAAGGAGGGCAGGTATTTGGCCCAGTATTGAATGCCCTGTGAAAAAGATTTTGTTGTCCCTCTGCTGAGCAGTCCTAGGTTTCAGGGCCTTGCAGCTCAGCTGCTCATTCGAATGAGGCAAGTGCAGGCTATTAGTACAGCTTGTATACCCCAGTCCCTGAAGAGAGGCGGCCACAAACAACATGCGGGCAAACCCTTCTGTCAGGGATCTCAGCCCAAAAACCAGTGCTTGGTGCCCACGGAGCAGCAAGAACTGACGCTAGTTAGAGAGATGAAGGCAGACAGCAAACTCTCCTGTAGCTTGCCACAGCTAGGAACAGAGGAATTGCCAGACTGGATTAGAGCCACGGTCCATCTAATCCACTGTCCTGTCCCTTCAGGGGAAGGTGAAAGAACCCTGCAGGGGGCAGAGGTGGGATAATTTGCCACCAAGCAGGGCTCATCCTGGTCTTTAATAGAGATTGGCTTAAACCTTCAAACATACCCTGCCAACGTTTCTGTTATCGTTAATTATGATAACGCTGGAAGTTCTTGATCTCCATATAAACATCCAATCACTTTTGGAAGCTTGTTCAATTCTGAACCTCAACAACTTCCGGTGGCAGTGAGTTACACAGGCTCATTGCACATTGTGTGGAAAAGTATTTCCTTTCACTGGCTTTGAATTTGCCCCCTTTCATCTAGTGTCCCCTCGTTCTTATGTTAGGAGGCAAGGAGAGCAGAAGTGCCTGATCTCCCTTCTCTAGACCAGTCATTGTTCGATAGATGTGTATCACGTTCCCTTTCAAGCGCTCAGCCTGTACGTTCTCTCAGGACCCAATCCTGCACCACTGGAGTCAGTAGGAGTTTAGCAGCTGACCTCAATGGGAGCAGGATCAGGGGCTTAATGCAGCTTTACTAGATGGAATATGTCACCCATCTGTGGGAGCCATCCCCCTCCCCACTCACACAGTGTCACTTTCAGCCAAACATGATGTAATCTGTGGGTGAGTGTGGGTTACATATTCCTCCCCCCCCCCGTGCCTGAGCTGTAGCCGCTGTGAGTCTGTTAGAGCCCCAGCTAGGGAGCCTTTGCTTTATAGCACCTACTGCAAGTGCTCTAGAGGTTCCCTGGTTCAATTCCTGGTGTGCCCACCAGGAGGGTAACTGTCACAATGGCAACCCACACCCTTTAGGTATTCAGGGCCGGATCCAAAGTCCACTGAACTCAACGGACAAGTTCCTGTTACTTCCCCAGGCTTTGGCTCAGGGGCGGTTTGTGGGTGTGATGGGGTGTACGCCCTCTCCCATGGCAGCGAGAGGGTTAATGGGAGCATGGGCATTCAGTTAGCCAACCTGGCTGCACCTCGAGGGAAGGTGGGATAATTCTGTTAGCAGGCCCACTGGGGAGGAGCTGGATGGCTGATCGCAGGCAAAGAGGCCCAAGGCAGCGGGGGAGAGAGACATGTACACACAGCAAACCTGGGGAGAGGCAGACAGGAGCCGGGCCGCCAGGGAGAAAGCCCGGGAGGTGTCGCTCACTACAAGAGCAGGTGAGAACATTGCAGAGCCTGGGAAGCATGGGCAGAGGAGCAGGGCTGGGAAAGGCCTCGAGACAGGCTCAACTAGGAAGTAGCCCAGGGAGGAAGCAGCAGGTCTGAGGGAGCAGACATGAGCTGCTTGCTCCAGGGCCCTGGGCTGGCACCTGGAGTAGATGGCGGGCCTGGGGTTCTCCCACTGGCTATGGTGAAGCTGGTGTGAAACCCCCTGACACAAGGGGCAGGTAAGTGTAGAGTGGAAGACCTGGCATGAGGCAGTTGGGTGATGGTTTTCTTGGACCCACTGTTACCCCAGAAGGGGTGAGGACTATATGTGCTCTGGGCCTCTGGCTGCAGGGCTGAGTCCTGAGAAGCAGGCCATCGCAGAGCTGTGGATAAAGGGTGGCAGAGGAAGAGAGCCTGCTATCCTGCACCCAGCCACGAGGGGGCATGATGGCCGGTGAATCGCTCTTCTGCGGTGGAGTTCCTTCTTTCATAGGGCAGTGTAAATAGCCCACGGGGGGAACCCCCCCCCCCATACCACGCCTCTCCCAGCTGTGACAGGCAGCTCTGGTCCCCTGGCATCTCTGTGCCATGTCGGTGAGCCTCCTCGAGAGGGCAGCCCGATAAAGCTCAACAGAGCGTGTGTTTTGATGCCATCTGAAGCATGGCGGGGGGAGGGGGGTGCCGATGACCCAGGTGTCCTGCATGTGACATTTCAGCAGTTCCCTTTGACAGATGCTTTCCGTGCCCCACATCAAGCCCTGGCTAGCCACAGTCAGATGGGTGAGCAGGAACGTCAGAGCGAATAGCAACAAACGCGATAGCAGAAAGCCCCGGGGGAGTGGAAGGAGCCGTGCTTAGCATCAAAATAGCACAGTGCACCTCGCGATGCTCCACTGGAATCGCTGGCTCAGAAGGGCAGAAGAAGCCCTAGAGCCAATGTCTGCCCAGCTTGATGGATGGAAGACCAAGAAGTGGCTATAACGGTGCTGAATGCCGGAAGCTAGAACAGGAGGAGTGCTATGCAGGGAATGCCAGTGGGAGAATGTCAGGTTTCAAACAGGGCTCCTGCTAGGCTCACTGTTGGGCCGTTCACACCAAAGAGCCGTCAGAAGCGCCCCTTCGGGTCAGTCCCACAGGACCAGCAATCCTAGGAGGGCACTGGCTCTGCTTCTTGAGGGACGCCCAGAACCTCGCCGGCACGAGCGATATGCCCACCCAGCCGCTGATGTGGTGAAATAACAGGAGCAGCAAACACAAGCGCCGGGGAAGGATTCCCCCTAGAGCAGGGGTAGGCAACCTATGGCACGTGTGCCAAAGGCGGCACGCAAGCTGATTTTCAGTGGCACTCACACTGCCTGGGTCCTGACCACCAGTCCGGGGGGCTCTGCATTTTAATTTAATTTTAAATGAAGCTTCTTAAACATTTTAAAAACCTTATGTACTTTATATACAACAATAGTTTAGTTATATCTTATAGAGACTTATAGAAAGAGACCTTCTAAAAATGTTAAAATGTATTACTGGCACGGGAAACCTTAAATTAGGGTGAATAAATGAAG